CCCCAAAACCCCAAAACCCCAAAACCCCAAAACCCCAAAACCCCATCAAAGTAAATTTTTAATCTGTGTGAGAGTCAGTGAGCGAATAATATAATTAAATTTTTAATTTAGGATTAAATGAGAATATTAAGATCTTAAAATAGCACTAAATATCAAGAGAGTAAATAATTTTTAAAGAAGTTAGCAGCCCTTACATTTGGATTTGCAATGATTTCAGGAGTTATTCTCTTCATTTTTGATTAAAAGTAGCATAGTGAATACTAGCTATAGCTTTTGGCTAAGGAAGATGCTCAAAATAAGGTTGATTTTACTAATTACCTATCTAAGTTCAACAAGAATTACCTCGATTTGAAAACATTCACGCAAAAGATGGCTACCTTTATAGAAAACAAGAAGCAAATAACAACTCTAAATTCTAAGCTGAAAGACTTTAGATTAGAATAGAACATATTCTCTGATTGGTCTAATTAAGAGTATTAAAGCATACTGGGGTTGAGTGCTCCAACAGACATTCCAAAATTTAACAAAACAAAGCAGAACTGGCTCATAAGCTCAACTGTAAAGAAACTTAGCATTCCTAAGCAATTAGATTGGAGATTTTCAAATATTATTACTCAAGTAAAGAATCAAGGGAGATGTGGGTCTTGCTATGCTTTCTCTTCAATAGCATCTTTTGAGAGTTTACTTATACTAAATAACAGGGCTAAGTATTAGGAGATTGATCTTTCAGAATAATAAATCATAGATTGTACCAGGCAATATTCAAATCTCGGTTGTAGAGGAGGTGACGTTTCCAAAGTATTTGAATATCTGATGTAAATCAAAGTTTAGAATGAATCCACTTATCCCTATATAAAAAAGGTAAATCCAAAATGCCTCTATAGTGAGTTAAATGGATTTTTCTTTGAAGACCCTGATGACATTGTTGAGATAGTAAGTAAATAGCCAGTCACAGCAGGAATAGATGCTTCATCTATATACTTTAAGAATTATAAAAATGGAATCATTACTTCGACTAAATGTGGTGCACAGAATAATCATTCAGTCTTGATAATTGGTTATGGGACATTAGATTAAATTGATTACTGGATTGTAAAAAATTCATATGGAATAAGATGGGGAGAGAATGGGTTTGCTAGGATACAAAGAACTGCTGGCAGAGATGGAATTTGCGGACTCAATAAATATATAGCTTACCCAATTCTTAATTGATGCTTCAATCATTTGATAGTCATTAAAATGTGAAAATTAATAAAAAGCAGCTTTTGGGTATAGCTTTTAGTATTTAAGCAAGACAATAAAGAAGTGTGATGAAATTTCATTTTTAAAAAATTTCAAAAATATATATTTCAAATTTTGTTCATTCATTTAACATTTTCTTAACTACTTATAACCGTAAATTTAGGTGCTTGGGGTTTTGGGGTTTTGGGGTTTTGGGG